TTTCTTCTTCTTCTTTTTTCGTTTCTTTTTCGATTTAGACGTTTCATCATCATTTTTGGATTCTTCAGGCTCATCATCTTCTTCATCTTCAACATTTAATTCATTGAGTGTTTCTGCTACGTTCTCTTCTATGGGTGCCATCTAAAGTGATTATTTTTTTTTTTACAATGAAATGTAAATAATCTTTTTTATATAAATTATTGATTTAACAATTGTCATACAAATTTAGTTTATCCACGCCTTTATAACTACTGTTATATGTGATTAAATAATATATATTTTTTTCTTTCTATAATGAGTTTCACTCCGGGTTCTGTCGCTGTTGTTTCATTGGTGTCCTGGCGACAAATTGAGTAGGGTAGCATGAGGTCTTCCACAGGGGTAAGATAATAATGGCAGTTGATAACCAATTGAAAATTTGTAGGATACTCTTCTTGAGGTTGAATTTATTTGCTTTTGGTTTTTTGCTGGTGATACAAGGTAACGGTCGTCTGCACTCGCTCGGTCCCTTGACTTCTGTTCTATCCTTAGCTCTCTCGAAATCAAATCTTTGTATATCTGCGAACGACCTATTATGATTTTGAATTCAAGATAACGCTGACACCTCCCTTCGGTCGGTGTTCGCCACCCTAGAAAGATCCGCAGCGGTCTTAAAGTGCTTCTGGAGGGTCATATCACGAAAAAACTTAAGTCTAAGTTTAAGACTGACTTCAGTCCGGGGACTTAAACCGAATCACAAAAGAGACATAAGTTGGCGATTTGTTTACTTTTTAAAAGTCGTTGACAACAGTGACAAACTTCGGATAAAAACCCGCAAAATAACGAAATACTTATTCTCTATTCCTTAGAATGTCGTTTTCGTCGAATCGTGTCGTTAAATGCCTGATCTATTCAAAAAATGCGTCAATAACTCAAGTTCGAATTAAGTTTTCGGTCTTAGCTTTAAGAGTACATTTCCCATGACTTAAGTCACCCTTTGACTTAAGTTTTGTTGTGATACGACCGCCTGAACTGAAGTCAATGCTCACGCCTCCCTTCGATCGCATTCACACCTACAATGTTTTTAATGATTATTGGGACAAGTGAGAGCAAAATCAGTTTCCACTTTGAATAATGAATTCCCGTTCTGTTTTCCACACTGAGAAAAGTATATGCCACTTTGTTTTCCACTTTGCTTTTGAAAATTTCCACTTTATCATATTTTCTACCTTACAAAATTAACCCATCCATCTGTTTGTTGAACACTTGTGAGCGAGCGAATCAGTATAATTTCTATTTAATCATCTAATTTTCATCACAATACGACGTGGCTAGTGTCTGAAGCCACGTCGATTAACACGAAGATTAACATCAATAGGATATTAGTCCAAAAGGATTTGTGACTTCTGTCTAAACGTATAAAAGTTTTGCAGCGTTTTTTTCTTTAGAAGTGTTCACTTTCCAGTTATTGTTTTAGTTACATTTTGTTTTAGATGAGTCATCTAACATGTTTGTTGTTAAATTTGTAATTGATCAGCGTACGGAAGTTAATTTCGGTCGATTTAATTGAAAGTGATAAAACGAAACCCGTGTGACGATAAAAAAAATCTTCTTTAGCCAGTATTAGGCAAAGTTTCAACTATTCCCATTCTGTCCACTTTACATTTCATATCAAAGTGGAAAATTCCATTTTGATCCCAACAGTAAAGTGGAAAGTTCCACTCTAAAAGAAGTTCCTATTAAAAACACTGCGCATCTAGGAAAGGTGAAAAATATTCCGAACTTCGCTAATTCCACGAAAAAAGCGCATAATGTAATATAAACCTAAAAAGTTTTCTGGATACACACACAGACAGACAACTATTTTGTAAGACCCTAGACTAAGACTGTTTTATTCACGAAAAGTGAGAGAGCCATCAAAGGTCACTGACCTATAATAAATGACTCAAGCCAAACAACACAAAAAGAGTAATAAAAAAGAATAAAATAAATAAGACAACTAAGGTTAGAACCAGAAGTAGTAAAAAAAGAAAAAATTTTTGAAAAAAAATGAAAATAAAAAAGAAGTAAGCAAAAAAGAACAAATATAAATTCTTAACTGGCGAATGTTTCATTAGGAGCGATACTGACATAAAGCGGTTTTGAAAGACGTTAAAGAAGAAAGACAAATAACTGACTCTGGGAGATTATTCCAGTCAGCAATCTTAACTATAAATCTGAAAGTTTATATGTTTGTCCGTCACGCTAAAAACTCGCGAACCGCTTAACGTAGCGAAGTGAAATTTGCCTCAGTTGTAGCGCTGAAAATTTCTAGGTCAACGGTGCTAA